GCTACATGATCTAGCACAACTTAAGCTCGTCAGTTATTTTCTAGTAAGCAGTTGTGGGAGTTAAGGGTTCTTGAACAAGATCGAAGATCCTGGACTCGATTCCTGTGTGCGGAGTCTTGGATGCATACTTTTGACATGTCCCATACTAAAACGTAACAGCCCTCCAACGTTTCCAGATTTTTAATCATGTTCTGACTTAAATCAGTCCATAATTTTAATGAAATTATTTTTCACTCAATAGTAGACACTACGTCTTCATATTTTGGAAAGGAATGAATAAGATAAAAACAAATAGAGTTAAATTTTAGTAGAATCAGTGTGTTATGTTATTTCTTAGCTAGTTACTCCGTGGATGCTGCACTGAATTGAACGGGATTTTATAAAACCAGAATAAGAATGGGTTAGCAACAGGGCGTTTCGATGTTCAATACACAGTCACATAAAAGTTTGCACAGAATTTACATGAAATACTTTTGTTGTCGTTATTATCCAATCTCGGACTGGTCGGCTGTAATTGGTTCCATTTGAATGTATACTGCGCGTGCAACTGGTAGCATCTCATCTTCCCAAGGTTTTCATTGTAATGAATGAAACATATTTACCATTAGATAAAGGGATTATGTAAAATAGAAAATAAATCAATAAGCAATAATTTTAAAAATTGCGGTTTCGTATAACAATAAAAAGACGAACTAATGGATCCTCACAACTGATATCCCATTTCACCTAGAAAAAAATCAATCATAAATTACACTCAACTAGGATTTCTATACTTCATCATACCATAATTAATGTTAATATAACATGAATTCACCTTATCTGTTTATCAACCTGTGTTTCAACGGAATTTTTAACAAGCTGTTTTCCTTGAATTTATTCAAGTCTTTTCTCCTACTTTAAATACTTTCAAAATGCAATTTGCCAATTTTCTTTTTGTTTCGCTAATTCCTTATTCATTTCTAGTAATCATGAGATCCTTTTTGTTTGCAGTTTTTACTACTTTTGTGTACTTGTAGTTATCTCTAACTCATGTGCTTATGGATTGTATCTTGTCTGTTCATGTGCGTGTGTCTATTATTCGCTAAAAATCACTTGTTCTTATTGTTTTGTATGAGGAATAATAGTTGTTTGGATAAGCGAAAATCGATGAATGAAAGCTATAGTTTAAGTGGATTAAAACATCAATCAATCGACGCTGATAAAGTATTCACTCTTCAATTTTTTTCTATTCAGCCAGTCTATAATTCTGTTATATCTAGAAATTAGATTCTTGCTATACCGCGTACTACTTGAGCACTTGAACCCTCCAAGTCGCAAGTTGAAAGTCAGAAGACTAGTGGGAAGGAATCTTATTTCAAACAATGTCAAATATGGTACAAGACAGTCAGGTATTTATAGTTTCTAGTAAAAATGAAATCATCATCACAGTTATCCACTCCCCGCATGCAGTGGTCTTTAGCATTTGTTCAGTCGGGAAGCTACACGTTGAGATTCTGGAATGTTCTTTTGAATGATGATTAGATGGCATGTCTTCGGCTCTTTCCAAGCATCCTTGAGTTCTTCGGACGCCGTCCCTACATATTCAATGCCTTATTTGATTGACACCTATTTTTATAAATTTATTTCTAAGGTTTGCAACAGTATTGTTCTGGGTTCATTGACTTAGTCAATCTAGACACGTATTATGTTTGTCTAGCTTATGGATTACATTGACACGCAAAGCTAAATGAGACAGAAGTATGTTGAAAACAAATCTGGGGTGGACAAATCAAGATGTGCTATCATTCCATAGAGTGATTGTATGTTTAGCTAAGCTTCGCCGGGTGGATTATAGAATTTTAGGTTGGAATCGATCACGATATCGCTGTTCTATTAACTGATTGTCATTTTTTCTCAAAATATCAATCCTCAACTTTCCATTCGTCAATGTTATTTTAATTTCTTTCTGAATTATTTTCCTGTGTTTACTTTTCCACTGGTGGTTAAAATAATTGGTTCCCCTGCCGTTCTTATTTTGTTGACTTCCTCTTTCATTGTATCCAAATAAGATACATATTCCTGTTAGATTCTAAATTGTCTTGGATTAATTCTTCTAGGATCCGACGTTCATATTCGAGCTGCGTAGACGTAATATCTATATGCGTCTATAATTCAAATAGATAATGCTTACAATATGAATAAAATATATTTGTAATATCCTGTTGCGTATACATCTCATGATGTTGCCTACTATTTATATTTTTTAAAAATCTATCTTATTTGCTTTATTTTTCTCGAAATTATAGGTTTGGTGGTCATGAAATTATTCAAGAATTAGTCCCGTGTAGTGATTGTTGTGATACTATTTCAAAAAGACAGAAATATGAACTGTCAGAGATTATGAGGGTAATTATGATTTTGTGCATTTTTTGTTGAAATGATCATTGCTTTTTGGTGTTTTATTGTCAGAAGAAAAATCGACACAGCTCATATTGACAGATTAAGGATTATTTCTCTAATTTATGAAAGTAATGTGTTACTACATATTACTGATCCCATGTACATCTTCAACTATATTGTTTATTATTACTTAAATACATAAATATTAGCACATTGCGGCAAAGAATACATATGCGCCACACAAGTCACTTGATTTATGTGAGGGCTGTAATACTGCCTGGGTGCCCAAACCGAAGCAGGTGGTTTTCTTAGGAGACCACACCCGGAGCTTTCGACTCAAATGTATGATCCACAAGGCAGTGGAGCAACGTAAGGAGATCCAGCCCCATGGGAGCCGGTGACCAACGATTGGTTCATACGCCCTTTGTTCCCTCAGGATCCTGGAGCCCATGTGCACCGTTGGTTTGGAATCAGGGTTTTCCAACTCCTGTAGGTTGATCTTCTGTACGGAACACCAACTTAGTTAAAGCGCCGGACATTCGCTTTTCGTGCTCTTAATTTTGTAAATAACACCCCTGGAGCGAGAAGGTAGTGAGTGGGACTTCCATGGCAGAGGCTATATACGCGTGGCCATGTGAGAGCATTTGGAGAGGGAGAGCTAACGCTATCCACCTTCGGCCATACCAGGGCATTAGGCGACTATAGTAAATACTATAAACTTAGATTCTGTTTCCAGTAAATGCTGCACTCCCGACCAATGCTACTACCTTGATGTGGTGGTTGGGCTTGCCTATCCTGTTGAACCAATCAAGCTATATTGGCTGGAACAATCTTTACTCAACGTCCTACAATGCTGGGCAAGTCGGTTGAAGAACGTGAAGACTAGAAGCAACAAACCCAAGGTCCGAGGACGAAGTTGTACTCGTAGATGTACAGAGGTTTTATGGCAGTAAGGTGTTTCCCTCAGATAACCAGCATGACAGCGATGCTGTCTTGCCACAACCGAAGCGTGGGGTTAGAAAAGTTTGACCCTAAAAATGTTTACCTCACCTTATTTCACGGATATCCGTCTCCATTGGTAAGGTCCCAACAAGTACGGATCTAACACGGAAATTATCTACAAAAGGTTGTTTGTGACCACCCTCAAGCAGTTATCCCTTGGACTTAGCGATCACACAGTCAGGCCACTAAGACAAACTCTAACTCACTTTCCTTTTCATGTAACTATAGAAGAGCCCTTCCACGATGTGGGCAACCGGGAAGTAATAACAGTCCTCATTACCTCTAACAGCACTCAAGACCACTGTATTCGTAATCAGTTTTCCTCTTCAATTCCTATTATTCCTCCTACCTCAGCTATCAACTCTATACTTCCTCCTGATGCGTCACCATAGCCAACAATTCTAGTGCGCGAAATACTGTCCCAACTACACATTGGATTCTTCAACATACATACCCTCTAACAAATTGGCCAAGAGACCTCCTTGTCTAAAACCCTAGAATCTCGTACCATTGATGTATACTGTGTCTCCGAAACATGCATACAGGATCCTAGTATGACCATTCACTTGACCTCACTTCGCCAAGACTCAGAGCCAAAGAGACACACCCTCCGTGTATTTGGCGACCCGATGGCTAGTTCTCGTGGACTGGCAGGTGTAGGCATAGCACTAAGTACGAGGGCGAAACAGGCACTTTTAGAATGGATCCCTGTTAACAATCGCCTATGTGCTGTTCGGCTAAACGGCTTTGTAAGAACTTTTAAGGATATGGACACACGTCGTTGCTTTTTCGTCGTTCCTGCCTACTCTCCCACTGACTTCAGCTCGGGTGAAGTGAGAGATGAGTCTTACAGAAAGCTTTCTCAACTTCAAAAAGCTAAACACTTAGACATAGTACTCATAGCAGGTGACTTTAATGCCCAGATAGGTAGCTTAAATCAAACAGAAAGACATTTAGGCGGGTATTTTAATATTCCGGCTCGGGGAGCAGATACTGATGGTCGTCTGCTGCAATTGTGCTCAGACAATCGTTTATTTTTAGCAAACACTTATTTTAAGCATGAGAAGCATCGTCTAGCATGACGACCCCTTGCACCTTACAACGATGGACTCAAATAGACCATATTGCTATCAGTCATCGTTGGTGAGGCTCAATAGAAGGCTGTCGCTCGTTCTGGAGTACATGTTTAGACTCTGATAATGCTCTAATACGAGCACGCATCTGCTTGCTCCTCATTGTACGCAGAAAAACCACATCAAGAAAACCCATTAGAGTTGAACTCAGTGACGAGAAAACCAAAAGTAGGTTCCAGAAACAACTGAGGTCATACTTAGGCAGTTCTGAAAGCGAAGCTAAACCAGATACTGCTTGGAACGAAGTTCAAAAGGCTACAGTTAATCTGAAACGAGGAAGAGCTGCTGGTCCAGATGGATTAGCTTCAGAGGTCTTTAACCATAGTGGTCCAGTTTTGAGATTAGGTTGACTAATATTTCAGCTAAAATCTGGGAGTTTAACGTAATCCCATATGACTGGTTGCAATCATTGGTTGTCCCAATATATAAGAAGAGGTCAAAATCATCCTGTGACAACCATAGAGGGATTAATTTAACTAATATAGCATCTAAAATACTAGCCTCAATAATTATCGGACGCCTAAGACTCGTGAACTGCAAACACGAGAAAATCAGACTGGCTTCATACCTGGTCGTGGCTACATCGACCATATATTCACCATTCGTCAGGTTCTAGAACACAGGCATACTTATCGGCGTCCAACAATGGTGGTTTTTCTTGATTTAAAAGCAGCATTTGACTCGGTAGACCCGTAGAGGTTCTGTAGCAGTGTCTGTTATTGAAAGGCGTACCTCAGAAGTACATAAACCTTGTGAGGGCTCTTTATTCGAACACTACTAGTCGAGTCAGAGCTTACAGCGAAATGTCATCTGATTTCGCAACCTCAAGTGGTATCTATCAAGGCTGTCAACTATCTTCATTTTTGTTCAACTTCATCATCGACATGCTGATGGAAATAACATTCTCGTCGACTGGATTTCCAGGAATTGATCACATACTGGAATGTCCACTTACTGACTTAGAATACGCAGATGACATAGTCCTGTTTGGTGAGGACGATAATAAAATGTAGAGTCTATTGGTAGCACTGAGCAACAATGCCAGAATGTTTGGAATGCGTTTTTCCCCCTCTAAATGCAAGTTGTTTCTTCAGGACTGGCCTTTGTCAACACCTGAACTAAGGATAGGGAATGAAGTAGTCGAACGCGTCGACATATTCACTTATTTTGAAAGCCCGATCAGTCCTGATGAGTTGGTGTCTGACGAAATCTCGGCACGGATTCGAAAAGCTCGTTTGGCTTTTGCCAACTTGTGGCGAAGGTGAGATATCCGTCTATCAATTAACGGACGAGTATATTTGACCACTGTGTATACACTCTTATCTCTCCTTAATCTGCGAGATTAAAATTACTTTATATCATTCTTTCTCCCTGTATCGGTCCTTATATGCAATCTTTTTTTGTATATTACTACCATTGAAGTAACTGCTTCAATGAATTTGGTGTTCATCTGCTTGTGCTAACAAGAGTGGTGGCAACTTGGACCGATGCATATATTTGCCTGGTCCTATATTTTAGACGACTGACTGACTGATTATACGTCAATTAAATTAATGTTTTTCAGCAATAAATATCTCAATATTCTATCGTCCATGACAATGTTCCATTCATCATCTTAGAAAAAATTAAATTACTAACGAAAGACCCCCCTTCATCTTCGTCTGGACGAATAGAAACTAGCTGTCAAACTCCATATTGTCTGTTTGCTTATATCAGTCAGTAACAACGTAGAACTTCGTACGTACGTACATCAGTTCGAGTTACCATGCCACATTAGCACAGAGATGCAGTGGTCGATTCAAATCCCATAGTGGTAGAGGTAATAAGAGTATAAGCAGTAGTCGGGAAGATTAGTGTTTGGAGATGTTACTTCAAGAGTATAATACAGTGAAATAAATTTGGGAAGAGAAAAAAAGAGACGAGGATTCAGTAGATAAGCATTTGGGAGAACACAAAGAGTGTATGCACCTGCGCCATTGCAAACGATTTTGAGCCATGTCATTCAGGGTCTCTAACCATCGATTGCTATCATCTCGCGGTCCCTAACCAGGTAGTCTACACCTACCAACATGACTCAGTTCACTTGTCAGTGACTTCATGGACTTGTGCCATGTTTTGGTCTGGCCGCCCCTAGCTTTCTTCCAACCTACTCCAATACCACCGAACATCGCACGTCGAGGAAGTCGGTGGTTGGGCATACGTAACACGTCTCCCAGTCATCTCAACTGATGAAGTTTCACTACGTCATCAATTGATTCGCCATCCTTACCTAGTACCCGTTTCCTAACAACTGTATTACTTACTCGATGGTCCCATGATATACAAGCAATATTTCTAAGGCACCTATAATCAAATACTAGTAGCCTACAAATATCCTCTACTCTTACCGGCCATGTTTCACTGCCATAAAGTAGGACGGAACGAACTGCTGCGCAGTAAACCCGTCCTTTGGTTGATAGACCGATATCTCGCCTACATGTAGACAATTTTAGTCACATAGTCGACTGAAAAAACGTTTAAATTTCGGATAGAGGGGATACTTAGTACACCAGACAAAATTTACAAGCTTGCCACTCATGTCGATCTACAATCAATCAATGAACACGTCGAAATCGATCCAATTTATCAAACAATTATAAAATTCATGCACAAATATAACATCAACAATCAAGTCAGAGGAAAAGACATTCAAAATAAATGTGTAGACAACAACAAGTTAAGGGTCAACAGTAACTAATCAAAATCAAAGTTGACAGGACAAGCTATCAGTCATATGTTAAGAAATTTGAATTCATCACTTCTACGTGAAGAATGCGTGTTGATGATATCGTTTCGTAGAACAATGAAAGTTTCATGATTAAATCATCCAACTAAGAGAACAAAACTCTGCTAAAACAAAATAAGTACTGGCCATATGTAAATCTATTCTAGTTGTTTACAAAACTGATTCTCCATTCAGATTGATTGTTACTTATTAGTATCATAATTAATCTAAAATATTCAATCGAAAACAACTCATTTATTTCCAACGAATATGTTTGTTTTTGGTTAGATTAACATTTTTTCACTTTTCATGAATTATAACTATTATAGGTTAGTTCATCGGTCACTCCATCGTCCACATCTTATGCTGTCAGTAAAAAATGGTTGGATGTATGGCTTCAATTTGTCAAAGGACAAATATGGGGTAAGTTCAACTGGGAAATATCTGAATATTTATAACGAAGTGTTCATTTTCTCATCTTGTTTACATGTATGAAATAATCAATAACTATTTCTTAAGTCACTTCATTTATGAAGGTTGTTTGAATCTTCTCGTTGTTAATGTTAAGAACTGAGATTATTCAGTCATCAATAATGGGATGATTAAAACAACATTTACAAATGAATTAAAACTTCCTGCCATTGCAGAACCCGGCAATTATCTGGACTAAGTAGTTAAGTATACAATGCGTTTGAGTTTGAAGCAAAATGTACTGCGTTCGAGTCTCAACATAGGCATCAACATGGTTGAAGGCTTACCCAGCTGACTAATCTCTAATAAGACAAGGCCATCATCCGGTGCTGCCATGTTCTCATCGGTGTTCTTACTTAGACCAGTTCATTGTTTTAATTAAATTTAAAATACCTTGTTCATACTGAAAGGTTAACAAATCAATGACTATTTCGTTGTATAGTAATTTGTATTGATATCAATACCACGTCACAATGATATAATCACTTATCACCAGTTTTATAGAATCAAAAAATCCTGTGACTCGAGATCATTAATCAATAATGTTTCCCAATTGGTTGTGCCAGCAATCCGTTTTCTAACATAATCATACTACTTATGAGTAGCCAAACTGTTCCTGTTGCGCTTCCTTCTCACCCAATGCGCGATATAAACTCTTCTCGTTACGTATATTCACAAATAAACAGGATTATCACTAAAGATTTCTTTTATTGAATTTTATAGGGTATTAGAGTAGTTTGTTTAATTCTGTTCACTCGAAATATGGGATTGTGATTTAGAAGAATGATTTTTATTGGAGTTCTTGGTTTATTTTGGAATGTTTTTTCACAATTATCAATCATACGTTACTAAAGGCTTGCAATTCCCGGTTTTTTATATTCCAGACTGATATTGATCAGTCTCTGTTGCTGTATATTCATCCTGGGTGGATTCTCTCGTTAAAACGTCATAAGTTTTAGTATATTTAGTATGTAACTAGCAGTGGAATCCAAGACGCACATTTCGTCCTACACGAGATTCGTCAGCTGAATATACTTGCATCCCATTGTTGATGTCCTGCACACTGAAGTTCGGACTTGGGGCCTTTAGTTCTAATATTTCAGCTTGTATTTTACTGAGTCATACATTTCAGATAGACACTAATTCAGTCAGTCGCAATGTAGAACCTAGTACATATGTACATCGGTTAAATTTGCCATATCTCATTAGCACAGCAAGATAAAGCAAAATCCCAAAGCAGTAGAGATAGTGACAGTATCAGTGGTGATTGAAAATATTACGGATCGAGGATACGGTTCAAGGCGATATCAGATGACGAAAAAAGCTTGAAATATAGTTATAAGGAATTCGGTGGATACAGAGAACGGATGCACCTGCGCTATTGCAAACGATTCTGAGCCATGTCATTCAAATTCTCTGACTGTTGTTTACTATGATCATATGGACCCCAACCAGATAGTCTGCACCTATTTACATGGCCAAGTCCAGTTGTCAGTGACTCCATAAATTGATGCTTTCTTCCACCTTACTCTTGCTTCAGAAAACATCACACTCTAGGTATGCAGTAGTTGGACATGCGTATCACATGTCCCAAACACCCCAGTTGATAAACATTTACTTCCTTACCAATCGATTCGCCATCCTTACCTATTAGCTTATCTGCAACTCAGACATTGCTTACTTGGTGGTCCCCGAATACACTCCAAGTTCTTTGTAGACACATGTGATGGAATACAAGTAACCTACGAATATTCTCTACTCTTAAGGGTTATGTTTCACATTCGTAAAGTAGAACGGAGCGAACTGCTGCTCAGTAAACTCGCCATTTGGTTGGCAGCTGGATATTTTGCCTATGCCATGAGTGACTCAAGTTGGCAGAAGCCAATCAAACCTTCTGAATCCGTGCCGAGTTTCCGTCAGATGGCGAACCATCAGGTCTAATGAGTGGAAGCATTCGATGTGTTCAACTTCTTCACACCGTGAACGGATGGGAAAATCACTGAATAAATAGACAGGAATAGCTAGAATGTTTGAATGCATGGAACATGAGAAGAAAGGGTTTTTATGTTATACTGTCTCTTCTCTTTTGATTGTTATTATGATCACCCATTATCTCTAATTTTAGGAACGATATTTGTCAGGTATCGACGTTTTGCTCACAAAATACGTTGTAAATATTAGGTCACAGTTTCAAACCTAAGTATTAATGACTAGTTAGACTTTCTCGTTGCTGATCTCATCACAGATGTTTTTTTCCATATATTTAAAAGTTTTGGTACAGTTATTTTTACTAATATGCATGACTGAAAGTAGCAAGAGTACCTATTCTTAGTTGAATAACATTCGTTACCATTATCTCATATAGAAATGTTGTGCAAGCATTTTAATTGCCCCTGTGACCATGTTGTTAGCTGCCTATCATCTATTTAAGGTCCGCGCGATAAGTGCGGGTTACTGATTAGAAAGACGCTGTGTGATATAGCTTAAAATCATTCAAAATTGCTACGATGCCATCACTCTTTATCTTTCTTCCGATTTTGAATTCCAATACCTCTTCACACATACCTTTACACTACCTTTTTAAACGATATTCTCAAGGTGTATTCTTTTTATCGTTGCTGTTGAATTACTTTGATTTGTTTTATTTTCATCTTTTCATGCTAATGCAGTATGGAGACTCGGGCCAGCACACATCTGTGCCTGGTTCCATGTTCATGAAGTCTGTCACTCGGTAACTTTGCTCGACTATCCTATTTTGCACTCTTAAATTATCACTAGGTGATTTCGACCTTTCCTTGTAAACTAGTAGAAATAAATTAACAAAAATAGTCTTTTGTTCTCAGACTGATTGATTTACACATTTGTTTGCCCAGTATTGTGTCTTTTTCTACACATTTAAGCTCATCAAAATTTTTCGTTGAATGCTTCAGAACGAATCCAACTGACTGTTGACCTCTAATTAAAATTCTTATTCATATACACTCTGTTTTACCGTTTTCGTTAAGCGTATGGATCTGTTATATATTGCTGATGAGTCTTCTGGTAATGGAATACATTTTAACACTAGTGCAAATGGATTTCTGTTGTATACGCAGCATTCTGTTAATTTTAATATCGTTTTATGCATATACATGTTTCTCTACTACAGAAGCTCCAGGTCCAATTGATAATTCCGACATTATGCCATGCAATAAATCCCTTTATTCGTATCGTAACAGTGGATCATTTAATTATCCTACTCTTTCATCAATACCACTTGGTAATTACGAATGTGTTTCTGCTGAAGTATGGAGTCTTCTGTTCAATATATATGGTGGAGGTCCGACAATATCTGTATGTCAACCTACTTATTCATCATCAATCAATAATAGTATAGATGAAAATCAGATGGACGATTTGTCAGATCACAGTTCATCGGATCAATTTTCACAAAAATGTTCATCAAATTCTACACCTAATGAACAGTCACCTCTTAATTCAGACCGAATTGATGAACAAGTATGCAGTTGTTTTAATGGTATTTTTGTTTTAAGAAACTGATTACTGTGTAGAAAGACTTAGTTCATTTTGCCGAATAAATTAGCTAAAAATCAATTGTAAACAATTATGGTATTCAAAGCAATTAGTCTTTTTAATAAATTTGTGTAGTGTAATAAGACGACTACAATAATGGTATTCATTATTTTTCAGTTTAACTTAAGTATACTCTTTTTCTGGTCTTAGTAAGATCGTGCTTTTTCCCTTTCTCTTAAATTTTTTGTTCATAAATCATGATCAAGTAGACATATAATGTGGTATACAAAATACGTACACACAAAATTTTGTTTGAGCGAACTATATTTTTTCAATATACAAAGTCAAGGCTTCAATATTCGGCAACTAAGTCTCAGGTCCGAACCCCATTTAACTTCGGTTTGCTCAACCAGGTAGTGTATCATTAAACCCCATACTCAAAGTGTGACTCATACCCAAGCACCTAGTGGATGAGTTTGTTTGTTTATCGTTAGTTGTTTCATCACCCACTTGCGTTTTACAACAACAGGCTATATAATATCATCAGATCTCACACTAACCAATATGGTTCAAGCTTAAGCAATGCATAATTGCTGTACTTGACAAATTAACCTGTTGACATCTAAAGAGTACGTTGCTGCCTACCTAAATGAAAATGATGTTATAACCAATAATGTGTTTAAATTCATTTTTGTATTAGTTTTTTCTTCTTCACACTGATGTTTAGGACTGCAATTGATCAGTCTCTTATTGGCATATGTGCAAGCTGTTCGAATTGTCTTAATTCACATGCACTATGAACATAGATGGATGGTAGCTAGCAGTGGAATCCAGGACCCACGTTTCGTCCTATTTGGGACTCGTCAGCTGGATGTACCTGCATACCACAGTTGATGTTCACTCCGGGACTTGGTGTGGATAACACGATGGCGTTTGAAGCAGATGATACTAGGTTCGAGTCTCGAAGTGAACATCGACCCCGGAATGCAGGCACATCCGGTTAACGATTCCCAAATAAGGCCAAATGCACGTCAGAATGTACTGCACAGCTGTTTTACTCCTAGTGTGTGCATCCACGCCTTTGTCGGCGATCGAATGGAAGAGCTTCAGATTTCCTGGCAAGCACTTAATCATTATATGACTGAATCGATCTTCACTGATTTATTACGTGTGTATTTGTTATCGATACTTAATATTATTCACTGCTTCTCCTATCTTTAAAAAAAATCTTTATCATTTGAAAGGACCGAAATTATTTGACTAATGGTAACAATCATATGAATGGTGGTATCTCTAACAATTTGGATTGGTCTGACAATAAATCCCATTTGAATCATTGGAATGAAATGGATAAAGAAATAGATTCGACAAATCTCCCTATAGATTCAATCTTATCCAACGGCACTAATGATGATACTATTCATCATATTGAAATATACACTGAACAAAATGATCATCCAGTTAAAAATAAATTAACTCAATCCACTGAATGTTCACAATTAAATGGTGATTGTTATCCATCATCTAGCAAAACATTGAACATGTTCAATGGTTGTTGTTCTATTGTCACAGACTCTAAATGTCAACTGAACAATCATCATCCTAATGTTCAACAGAAATCTACCAATAATAGTCTAACTGTTAGTAAAGGCGCTAGAACCGGTTATTTTGGTGATTATAATCCATTAGATTTGGTGAATCATAAAAATGTCTCCAAAGTAGAATCTTAGTACCAACAGCAATAAATGCATCAAATGAAATCAAAACATGGTGATCAGCTTTATGTAGACACTGTCGAATAGTTTTTACATAAAACTTAAACTTTTTGTTTTCAGTCCATTTGTTGCTTTTATTACATTTAATTAATAAATAAAACTGTGATTCTATTCATTGTTTTGAAATTTTCTTCTTCATTGATTGGAATGGTAATCGTTATTATGTTATATTTTCAGAACCAAGTGATCTTTTCTTGTGACTCAGGTGATGGCTCTTTTCTTTTCATCCTTACTTTATAATATGCAAGCGATGTATGATTGTAATTTGTAATTATTTCCTCTTTTGTGAGTTGATGAGTTGATGTGTATGTTTCGTGGAAATTACATGTTAAGAATGACAACAGCGTTGAACTAAGCAAACACACAGTGTTTGTGTATGTATTTGACTTGTAATTTTATGTGTTTTATTCTTTCATCTAAGAAGCACTAATTTCTCTCTTCAAAACTGTATATTGATTGGATTCGAACTGTTGTCTCATCTGAACAGTTTTATTTTATCCTTTCTTTTTGTCCCATATATATATATCAGTAATTCCTCAATAATTTGATATTAAGGGTAGTAATAATTTTAAATATTGTTATTCATCGTCTTTTTTTCTGTATGTGCATGTACACACACTCTGGTATAATATTTTGCTTTTTATTCATATGTGTATAATTTCATCTGCATAGTAGCCATCCATTCATCCGTTCATATTTATTCATTTATAATACATAATAAAATCATGAAATAAAATGTATCAACATCACTTGTTCTTTATGTGACCTATTTCATTGTTCTTATTATTGCTATTACTACTCTTAACACTACTACTACTGTTATTGTTGATAAGTAGTAGTATCTAGTATTACTGATTCATTTCTACTCAGATATTTTCTATCATATTAATGATGAAATTCTTCGTGTAGTAGTAGTAGATGTAAAAGTGTATCCCATTTGTTTTCTTCTCTATTTAGATGGATATTAAACTTGTCACGTGTGTATAAAAGCACTAATATTATTGATTTTTTATTTCCTGTTATACATTAAGTAATTTATATGCATATAATGTTATTCATACACTCGGAATAATGAATATATCTATGTCTTCATGTGGGTACTTATTAACTTATTGCTTGTTTAATTTTGTAAATTATTTTTATGAAAAGAAAAATGTAAACAAAGAAGTTGTGCACAAATATTTTCTTCTTGTTTCTATGTACATTGCCTTGTTTGTTTGTTTATAATTATATTCGACTTGTATTAATACTATTATTATCACTGTTTATTTCTGTTATGATCATCAAAATCACAGTGCGGTTTTCATAGGTCACAGTAACATAGATCTTTTGTCCCACTCATTACTATTATTATTTTCATAGATTGTCAAGAACAAATGTGTGTTTATGGTATTTGTTGCAAATTTCTCGATGTATTTTCAGTGAGAGATAGGAGGAGATGTGATAGGGTTATCGTATTCTTAATGGTTGGTTTATTAATTTGTAAAGCATTTCGTTGTCTTCTTCATGAAGTATGATAAGAATGTTGTTGTTTAGTTTTATTTTATTTTGTTTCAACACATAAATATTGGTACAAGGGGGCATCAAATATATATGCGCCACACCATATTTGTGTGTGTGTGGGCTGTGATACTGCTCGGGTGCCCAGACCGAAGCAGATGGTTTTCTTAGGGGGCCACACCCCGAGCCTTTGACTTAAAGGTCTGGTCCACAAGGCGGTGGAGCATCGTGAGGAGATTCATTCACATGGTAGCCGGTGCCCAACGATTGGTTCATACGCCATTTGTTCGCGCATGATACTGGAGCCCATGTGCACCAGTTGTTGTTTAGAAAGAAAATGAACTGCTCTCAGAGGAAATCATTCATCTCGTAGTAGACAAACACCCTTATCATTTCAAAGGAATATAAATTCATATATGTATTGCGATGATTTAAGATACTAGATTTGACGTTTTATGAAAATCTTGAATGAAAAGTGCTTTGTAACTTTGTTTCGAAGGTGTATTTAGAAGAATACGGGGTTGGACACATAAGAATGTATTTACTTTTACTGGTGTATGTCACCAAGCCTCCACTCATTAAATCACTAAAAAACATAGCTGTACAGGTACATTGACATCATTAGATGCTGGCTCTGTGGTCTAGAGGTTAGGCGTTCGCGTCCGAGATCGAAGGTCCTGGGTTCGAGTCCCGTATGTGGGATTGTGGATGCTCGTTGCTGACGAGTTTCACACTAGAACGAGACGGCCTTCCAGTGCTTCCAAGTATTCAATAGTGGTGAAGTGTTTATCGACTCATGGTTCAACTATTAGTGTGTACAGTTTTAGTAAAGGTTATTATCAGCAAGGAAATTTTTTTGGATTGTTTCTATTTCTTCAACGGCATAGTGGATTTCGTTTGTTGTATTTTGTAGGAGTTTCGGAAATCTGTGTTACATACCTAATAAAACTAGTACCGTTGATCATCATCCAAAGAATACTCAGTAGCTAGTGTAAAATCAATCTTTTGGGAGTTAAATTGTGAAGCTTTAGACAGTTTTTTTTTACATATATCATTCTTTACGTCTTATTTTACACATGAATTATCTTTTAAGTATGTTTATTCGACATTATATTGTTTGAGTAGATAGGTCTGTTAGTCAGTCATGTTTTTATTTTAATGATGATCTACTCTAAACATAAACGGTTGGACTGTTCGCTTCTTATTAAATAATCGTACTACAGTTGGATATTATCATCAAATAAGTCTGGTCGACAAACTGTTCTTATCAACATAAACGATTGAACTCAATAGCATTGTATCTTGTTTTGGACTGTTAAATAGTTCATTAAACTTATTAAGATTTCAGTTGTAATTGTATAAACTGGTGACTCATTGCCTAATTCAACGAATCGATTTGAAAGTAAAGCTTAAATTATGAATGTATGTATTCGTTAAGGTTTTCTGTGACTCTAGTGTATGCTACTTATGTCGACTGATATAAGTAGTACTTAACACCAATCGGTAGTGGAAAACGTGGTATCAGAGGGCTATGAAAGTTGATTTAAAGCAATTAGAAAGAAATTGTGAATCAGAAGAATCATACAAAATGTGGAAGAAAAGTGATAAAAATTCGAAAATGACGTAGGACTAGACACGCATGAGATTGATCACCACCCAGTGACAAATCAATTGTGATTACATCTCAGTCTTACAGGAGTTTAGTCGCGGCTCGGATAGCTCAGTGGTAACGTCTCTGACTGTGAAGCTGGGTGACGCGAGTTCGAATCCGCCAGGGAGTACCAGTTCCCTCAAGATTACAGGTACACCTTGCTGACGAGTGCCAAGTAGCACGAAACCCGGGTCCGGGGTTTCCTGTCGACTACCTCTAACCACCATCTAATCTCAATATATAGTGCCCGCAGTGTCGAGTCACCTAGACTGGTGGCCACATGGCAACATGATCGATAGCATTCGATCTGCACTAATAAGGACTAGACACGCATGACATTGATCACCACCCAGTGATCAATCAATTGTGTTATTAACAAAACATACTACATCTGAAAGATCATTATCAAGGAAAAACAAGATCCATGCTTCATCCAAAACCTAAAAGACTTGAAAGTGATTGCGTCACATCCCACTGTGTTTACTAATTTAAATTTGTGTGATCACACATACATAGGGAGGAGCAATCATGGTCTCCAAATTAGGGTATCTGAACATATACCTAAATGGTTGCAACAACAATTAAATTTAAGTGACCCAATAAGAGTAGATGATAAACATCTATCATCCCCTATTGCCAAACATTTAGTTGAAACAGGTCATAAAATTGATCTAGACTTAGACCTTATGCTAGTTTGTATTATTCGACAACGCGTACCTGCGATTTTGTGGTAATTAGTGCTGACTGTTTGGTTCGAAACCGTATCATCACCGAGCTATTATATTAGTTATGGTCAACAGATCAGATAAATATAGCATTGACAATTACTCAGTGATCTGTTAATCAGAATTAATGTCACTAAAACTGTATTCAATTCTACTTATGGATTTTGTTATTTTCTTCCATATGATCACATGAATTACAATTGTGATTGAACTACAATATTTTTCGGCACAGTAGTTCTTGAATTTAATCGTTTCATTTCACTATTTGGTATCATTGACCAGTCGAAACATTTAAATTCTGTAATCGTTTTGGCTTGAAATCTTTTTTTTAAATTTTCTTCAAATATTTCAATTTCTTTGTCAGGATTCATTGGAGATTGGACTAGTTTTTCCTCAGTTTCTGCTTCAATAGGTACATTTCTTTTCCTAGGATTTACATAAAAATAGATTACAGAGATAGTTTGTTTGGAATAACTATATTTATACAGAAATATTTCAAATGAACAATTTACGGTTGGTTGAGCAATTTTCATTTACTTCTAAATGAATGTTAGTAAAATCTGAGAACCATACAGTAAATACTTCATTTGCAAATTGTCAAACAATCGTCTCAGATTTGATTGTTCTTTCCTTCTTACATCGATCATTCTCTATTCTCGTTCTGTTTTTTTCGATCTTCTTAACCTTCTGCCGCCCGTTATTTCACTTTCGATTGATGACACATACTATTTACATCCATCGACACACCACAACTGTATAATGACAATATTGATAATGAGTTCTATAAGTTAGGATAACACAACATCCTCATTCTGAACTAAAAATATTAATCATTAATGCGACACTTAAGATTTTTTATAATTAAATTGTGGACAATCTTTAAGAAAGCTATATATATATATGGCGAAGGTGAGATAACCGTCTATCAATTGAGGGACGAGTATACTGCGCGACAGTTCGTTCTGTTCTACTGTACGGCTGCGTAACGTGGGCATTAAGAGTAGAAGATACTCGTAAGCTACTAGTATTTGATCACAGATGTCTTAGAATTATTACTCGCATCTACTGGGATCACCGATTAAGTAATAGTGAGGTTAGACGCAAGGTATTAGGGAATGATGTTAAGTCAGTTGGTGAGGTTGTGAATCTTCACCGACTGAGATGGTTGAAACATGTATTACGCATGCTCGACCACCGATTATTACGATGCACGATGCTGATTAGTGTTGGGGATGGTTGGAAGGAAGTTAGGGGCTGTCATCAATCCATAAATTCACTAACTTCTAGTCTGAGCTATGTTGGTATATGCAGATTACTTGGTTGTGGTCGGCTTGACTATCGTAACCAGTGGTTGGAGACTCTGGGTGACATGGCTCAGAATCGGTCACAATGGTGTGGGTATATACACTCTTTGTACTCCCTTAAACCGTGAGATTAAAATCACTTTATATATTTCTATCAACTAATTCCTTCTTCCTGTGCTATATCTTTATATGTAATCCTTTTTTATATATTACCACCATTGAATTAACTAGTTTATGAATTTAGTGTTCATCTTGTGCTAATGTGGTGTGGCTGCTTGGATCGATACATATATGTGCGTGGTCCTACGTTGTAGCTGACTGACTTATGATTATTTTAAAGTTTTATGGAAGGAACAGCGAAAATTAAGAGTGAAATTAAATCTTTTTTTCAAAGAATAGAACAAAAGCTGTCTCGTGAAACTGACTTATACATATTTTTTTTAAAACATTATATATAGGTTTACTTAAGCTCAAAAGATACTCATTATTGGATATTATTATTAGTTAAGAAAACAGTATATCAAGAAAAGAACAAAAATAGAAATGTATTGATGATAATTTTGTATATGAAGAAAGGTTCCCTAAAGAGTTGAAGGAAAATAAGTAATATTTATCATTGGTTAATGCAGGATCAAATCCCATGAATAGCATCATGCCTCTAAAGATAGAAAATAATCCCTAATTATAAGTTCTAATTAATATTAAAACATAGGATATACGACGCCTATTGATTGAAAGGATTCAATCATCGTTTAGAACTAAACTAACAAAACATAGGTTATTACTCAATAATCATTGTAAATGTTTGACAAATAAGTCTAATTCCTTTTGGTGTTTGAATATACATCCATAAAAGCAACATATTTATGAATCAAACTATTTTAAATTAACTCCAATGGAATTAAAATTCCTCTGGAATATTTGATCATAAAAAGAAAGGCTGGTAACAGAAATTCAACAATTAAGGTTGAATCTAATTTAACGTGAAACGATAAAATAAAATGCTGTCAGTTAAACCCTGACGGTTATTGATTAGGAAATTATTTTATTATTTTTATTTGTACTCATAGATATTGGTACAAGGAGGCACCAAATACATATGCGCCACACAAATCTCATTCGATATGTGTGAGGGATATGATACTTCCTGGGTGCCCAAACCGAAGCAGGTAGTTTTCTTAAGGGACCACACCGGGAGCCTTCGACATGAAGGTCTGATCTACAAGGCAGTGGAGCAACGTCAGGAGATTCAGTCACATGATAGCCGGTGACCAACAATTGGTTCATACGCCCTTTGTTCTCTCAGGATCCTGGAGCCCATGTGCACCATTGGTTTGGAATAAGGGTTTGCCAACCCCCTTAGGTGGACTCTCCATGTCCATTAATTCGGTTAAAGCGCCAGACATTCGCATTTCGTCCTCTTAATTTTGTAAATAACACCCCTGGTGCGAGAAGGCAGTGAGTAGGACTTCCCTGGCAGATGCTATATACGCGTGTCCATGTGAGAGCATTTGGAGAGGGAGAGCGGATTCTCTTCACTCTCGGCCGTACCAGGGCATTCAGGGGAAAATATTTCCCCCCTAATTTCCATTTTCATATTTCTCTGCAAAATATCTTGAATATTAACACTGAATATCATTCACTTCTTTAATTTAATTACATACAAATATTGATTACGTTTCTTATTACTTTCGACGAGCATATTTGTAAGGGGAATTATTTGTTTTCCTGTCAGCTCATAATCACATAGTTCCTATTATTGCGTTAGATTAAACCACATATTCTTTAACCTATTCAACAATTGTATTAAGATATAGGATATTGGATTTTATTTCTAGGTGAATATTAGCTAAGTGGATAACACGATGGCGTTTGGAGCGAACGGTACTGGGTTCGAGTTCCAGAGTGAATATCAACTCTGGGATGCAGGTAAATCCAGCTGACGAGTCCCAAATAGGACGAAGTGGTGCGCGTCCTGGATTCCATTGCTAACCACTATCCATCTTTGCTTATAAGGCTTGTGACTTCAGGTAATATCGAGGCAATACGCATAGTATGTACATATACCGACAAGAGACTGATCGATTGCAATCCTAAATAACAATGGGGAGATACAAGTAAAGAACACCAATGAATACTAGTTGTATTTTAGTGACTTGACAGTGTGTAAGGTAATCAAAGTCTTCATGATGACATTCTAAAATCTGGATACATTCCATACAAAATAACCTCTGAAGTTATCCAAAATGCTTTTACTATTCGCTAAGTATGTCAATATTGAGCACTTTCATTTAGCGCGTAAATGCTGCATATCAGAATGTATTCAATCTCTAACGTTAACCACGTGTTTTTCACCCGGGATATCTGACTGCTCGACACTAGATATGTTTATAGCAGCCAACTACAATGAACAGTCATAACTCTATCTGTCTTCGACCAACGGGCCTAAATGTCTTGCGTCAAAAATTTTGCCTTCCAATTACACCAAATTAACATCCATCAGCACACAGTTCCAACTTCAATTAACTCATAGTAATTTTTGATAAACGAAACAAATCCAGTACTCCACGGTTTTCAGTGATTGCCTAGCTAAAATCACTTCTCGATGTAAATTATCTTACTATCCTAGATCAGTTGTTTGATTGAATGTGAACATGATGTCAGTTATTTGCAAGTAATGATTCAACTCACTAAATAGTTAGGGTTAAAAGTTCTGTAAGATTTACATTTTAAAAATAATCATTATTAATTTTGTTTAGTAGTACAGGGGAATTTTCTGTTGGATATACTTACGGACACTTCAAAGGATAATACAAAAAAGAAAGGAGTGGATCAGAAAAACTGAAAAAGATGGAACGCAGACGTAACCCAATCATCGGGCTGCAAAGAGACCTGAGAAAAAACTCATATTCTTTCTTTAAAGAAGGAATGTGTTGTGGAGTTCGAAAATATCCCTCAACAAAGTTTCTTGAAGCCGACAAAAATCCAAGATATGTTTTATTTAATCAGCATCGAACAGATGCCTCCCAGAAACATCTAGATAAATGAAGGACCATGTGCCGTTTTTGACCGGATAATTACCCATGCCATTACTATATTTAGTATGTTTTCCCGAAAGTTCTAGACAACCAAGGTCATAAGGACTATAAGTTTACTCCATTTTTGTACTTAACCTGCTACTCCTAGATCGCTTTTTTTTCTCTGTTGTTCAAGTTGAAGTATTGAATTTGTCTGGAGTTCTGCGAAGTAGCTAGGATGTCAGCAGTAGCAAACCTATCGATTTTCATAGAAAAGCAGCACTATGTGGTCATGTGTTGTGACAATGCTGAAGCAAATAAAACTATCACAAGATTAAATCTTCTATGCTACTAAATTGGTCAACGCAATTAATCTCCCTAGCAGTAGTATTACAATGATCAAGAATACTCAGTCGTATCTCGTGTAATTAATACAAAGTGACACTGTAGACATAGATAATCATGGCTAGGTTTCTTTTGAAATGTCTGTATAGTACGACAATAATAGCTTACTGAGCTATGAATCACTTCAACTCTATTACAATGTTCATGTCTACACGATTGATTCGTCTAAACTATAAAGAGCCTCAAATATAAAGTATCAATTAATCAGTTCATGAAACTCTTTATGTGTACTTATTATGGGAGTAAATAATGAGTTCCAAAAAATACTTGTTAAGTAAAACCAACCTTTTGCTTGATTGTTTCTGAATATACTTTGGACAATAATTGGTTTTTAATTTGCTCCACTTAAATTGATCTCTTAAGATTGCATGTTTATTCAGAACAGTCAATGTTGAATGTGAACTTAATAGTAAAGATTTAAAATCCGATTGTAGAACAGCGGGATTTCCAAGCAAATTAAGCTCACGTAGAAAATGCATTCTTGATAATTCTTTGTTGATTTCCTAGAGTAATAGGTTATATAAATGAAATATAATATATGTATATATAAGAAATTATGATTGCCATTTATACTGATGAGATTCCATCGAACAAGTTTCATTATGACCATTAGTCCAGATAAGTTGATATCATATGCAATGTGGTGGCAGGAAACAATCACGAGGAAGCTATATTTAATTAAGTTTTTATATTACCTGATATTCATCAGCAGAGTGTATCGGGAATCTTCAACGGGCTGATCAGCTCAGTGGAATTTGAAACCAGACAATTGACTTATTAAGTTCATAATATCACACTAATCACCTCGCACCAACTAATATTAAATATATTATCTATATTCAGTATGAATATTACCGATAACGATTTGCGAAAACTAAACTGTAAGCTTGTTCGGTAATAAACTTCATTCAATAAATTACCTTATTTACTAATTTCTTTTAGTTAATATTATCAATCAGATATGAAAGTGAAATTTATTACGAGCTTATGTCATTTAAAT